AGTGTCACTGGCCCTCATATGTGGGATCCGAACCGGGGCCCTCTGGCATCCCAAGCGAGTTCTTAACCATCGCGCCACTCGGCCGGCCCCCCAAGCCAACTTTTAACTAACGCACCACTTGGCTGGCCCCTGGAACAAAGTCTTAAATGCTGTAAACTGAATTGGATGGAACTCAAGCCCATGCATGGCCTTAACCCCATTTACACCATTTTTTAAGCTATTCTAATAAATACTTCTGCTTAGTAAAAAGCAGAAGCATTTTACTAAGGAGTCAGGAGTCCCTGGAACAGTATAGGTTAACAGTTGCTTGTGTGTTCTATTTAAAGATTAGAATGTGAAATATAGAGATTTTTCCTTTCATCTTGATCTCTATTATTGCTTAACTAACAGAGTTCAGTTCCATTGATGGCCTCTGATGCCCCTTAGGACAGTGGTTTTGAAACTGTGCTCCATGGAGCCTCTTAAGGGCTGGCTGCCAAATGGAGGCCCCTCTTCCTCCTCCTCTCTGGGCAGCTAGCTTGGTACTTAGTAGTGGGCTTCCACTAGTTGTTTGTGGCCAGAAATATTGGAGCCACTGCATTTATTAGAGAACTTGTGTTTGCCATGTCCTGCTTAGCAGATTAATGTGGTCACATCTCCATCCTTCATGGCTATCCTCTTTGGCATTTATTAAATTTAGCAGAATGCACCAGACTAAATTTAATAAAATCATACCATTATAGTAATTCCCTTTTATCTGTGGTTTCACTTTCTGCAGTTTCAGTTACCTGTGGTCAACCAAAATATTAAATGGAAAATTCGAGAACTAAACAATTCATACGTTTTAAATTGCATGCCCTTCTGAGTAGCATGATGAGATCTTACACCGCCCTGCTCTGTCCTTCCCTGGATGTGAATCCACTACCTGCCCAGTGGACACTTTGTAGCCATCTTGGTTATCAGATTGACAGTTGAGGTATCACAGCACTTGAGTTCAAATAACCCTTATTTTACTTAGTAATGGTCCCAAAGCACAAGAGCAGTGATGCTAACAGTTCAGATATGCCAAAGAGGGCCTGTAAAGTGCTTCCTGTAAGTGAAAAGGTGAAAGTGCTTGACTTAATAAGAAAAGAAAAGAAAAATCCCGGGGCCGTCCGAGTGGCGCGTTGGTTAAGAACTGGCTTGGGACACCAGAGGGCCCCGGTTCGGATCCCACATA